AATACATTATAAAAAGTACGATCTATCAAATGTTAAAATTTTTCAAAAGGATAGCTTATTTCATCCCGAGATGATCCGAAGACCTTCATTTTGATTTAAAGATACAAAAAAATACAGGTTAATTAATATTTAACTTTTGAAGCGGCTGAGTGAAGATTTAACTGACTCCGTTTGTTAATTCTCGCAGCTAATTACCTACATAACATGAGCAACATTCCTCTTAAGACTATTAGCAAAGAACAGCGATGATTTGATTCTTATATGGAAAGTTTCTGAGGCTTAAGCGAAGCTGGAAATAGCTGATATCAACTGGCAAAGTATTAGGAGTGCTTTACGTATCTAGCTTTGGTTTTAATTTGCGGTTGAAAAAAAACTCGTGTGTTAATAGGGTTAATTGCTTTATGAAATTTACACATTTTAAAAGGTATATTTGATCCGTGTTGATAACTTTGCTATTTGAGGGCGATGACTAAACGGAAGATGTACCAAAACTGCGATAGTTCAGGTTCTTGCATATCAGAAAAATTTACCAAGGCGTCAAAATTAATTTAATATTATTATTATTTTCAGAACACCCAGAAGTCCATTTTCCCGATTTTCGGTTTCTGTAAAATGAAGGCCTAAATTTTATTACCCATCAGCCCTTTTACACCCCGCCCATGCGCACTTCCTCTCGCCCTTGGTGTCGCCCAGTCTTCACGCAGCTGCGGCGTCGAGGCCTGGAAAAGCATTTCCAAGCAACCAAGTACGTCACCAAACGAGGGCGACTTCAGATCGGCGCAATGTTGGGTTTGTCCGAAACACGGGTGAAAGTTTGGTGTCAAAACACGGCCGAGTTGTTCGAAGCTGGGTTAAGTTAACCCAGGGTTAGTGCGAGATTTGAATTCAGATTTGAAAGCTTTAAAACCATTTCAGTTTTAATTCCTTCTGTCCACAAGTTGATGATTGGAAGCTCTAAAAATAACAGAGAAAATTATCAGAGAAAATGCTTTTGAACACAAGAAAAAGAAACCAGGGTTAAATTTAACTCCAGGTTAAGCGCTAATCGGCCTTCGAACAACTGGGCCCAGAAGGACAAAGTGGAGACATGAGGCAGCGAAGAAGGAGAAAAAACAAAAAGAACAAACCTCAACAGAAACAATGAACAATTGTGTACAAAAAGAAGAAGTAAAAAATGAGAAAGAAAAGGAACACGGATTTAAAAAAGGCAGAGAACAGTCCATAACTGATCAAATCAGCAACAAAAAATAATAATAATTTTACACGAGAAGAGAAAAGAAGGAAGAAATTAAAGCTAGAGGTTTACATGCATTGAGCGAGTGTTAGGACGAACATTAACATCGTTAGGCAGCCGTTAGATGACAAAAATAACACGTACCTCAAGGATAAATTAAACTGATAAATTCATCTTTTCATCTCCAAAAGAGCTATAAATGCAGGTTGAAAATTTTGGATTTAGAGCAGTCTCGATCTTTTTAGTTGACTTCGCTTATCCCGCTTATCAGCACCCTCACAGCATCCCCACAAAGATAGAAGTGTTTGTTACTTAAATTTGCAGTCAGATGCTTCCTGAAAAAGAAACCTTATTTTGGCAGAAAATTCAGATCTACTTAAAACTCGCTAAAACGTACCAAACAAAAATGAACTTTGCTGTCACTCGCATATTTGACTGCCGGGCTATAGCCAGTTGCGGGCATGGTTGAGGACGATGTGAAAAATTAGATTCACGAACAGTTTACACGAAAAACTGATTTTTTCAATAGTCAGAACAGGCTGCTTTACTAGAGTATAAGAGGGAAAATAATTTCGCCGGGAAAAGCCGCTCAGAATTGAAGACTCCCGACATGGTTTCGATGAGAGGCCAAAAATATCTTTCTTTACCTTTTTGTTGATGAGGACTTTGAAGTTTTAGCTGACGCTTTGCCAGGGCTAAAAGTTTTATTATTTAGCAGTTTCAGCCAGAAAACTACTTAAGACGTTGCATAATTACGTGTTGAAATAGTTCAATAATATAATATCAACGAAAAACTGCGTTGTTCTTTTTAAGCATATTTTATATGTCCTCTTAGTCAGACGGCCAATAGTCTCAAGTGAACTATACTAAATGTTATCAAACAGTTAACGTTCTACATCATAATTTTTTTTACGTTGCTTGTTTAAAAAGATGCCAAAAATGTTCTTAAGTAAACTGCAGACCGACTTACAGTCTTTTAATACAGTCGGCCAACGATAGGTGTCTGTGTAACGAGGACCAATACATGAGGACAGTGGATGCGAACCGGCGGATGGGAATATTTGAGGAGAAAAGGCAGATGGAAACAAGTGACAATTTCCAAAAATTCGAATGAAAAAAAAAAAAAAGAAAAGAAAAAAAAAAGGAATGAAAAAGATAACTTTGATTGAAAAAAAAGGAAATTAAAAAAAAGAAAAATAAAAAAAAAAATAAAAAAGAAAAAAGAACTACAAGAGGGAATAATAATTTTTTATATCTTAAAATAAA